CCATATGGCACAAAAGTTCCTTCCCATCCTACTTTTATTGAATACGTGGGGTTTTTTTATTTAGGAAACAGAAATTCAGCAAAGGGCCAGGAAGATGGTCAGGAGCTGAAGCAGTTGCCCTCCAAGGAGAGGCTGGAGAACCAGGGCTGGCTGGAGAAGAGGTGGCTTTGGGTACTAAAAGTGGAAGTGGAGAGATGCTGACTGGATGCCAAGAGAAATTTCCTCCCAAGGCAGACAGGCAAGCAGGGGAACAAGTTACTCACAGAATCTGACGAGTCTCTGTCCTCAATGGTTTTCAAGACTTGACTGGATGAAGCCCTGAGCAATCTGGTCCCGTCTCACAGGTGCTCCTGCCCTGAGCTGGAGTTGAAATGGAGGTTTCCTGAGCTCCCTTACAGCATGAATTACCCTGTGATAATTTATTTCCTTTTTCTTTTTAAAGACTGCCCTTATCTAATCTGAGGTGTACTGAAACTTTGTTGTTCTCTCGCAACCTAAGTCACTCTGCTAATTTGTTTGCTATTTTGTATCTGTATGTAATCCTACTGAATTCTATCTGACTTTCTGTAGTTCATTAGATCCATTTTCAGTTCTTACCACTTTCTGAGAAGTCCCTCACTTCTGGATCCTCCTTAGAGAGCCTTGGCACTCCTCCAAGCCACAGTATGGAGCAGGTCCTTGCAGATTGCCTTGGCATGTTCCAGTCCATTTGTGCTTAAATACCAATAATTATTCTCAAAAGGTGGATTTCAACTTCTTGTGCAACCACTGCATTTGATTCTGACTAAGTTTGTGTATGGCAGCTGTTCATGTGTTGTTGCATCAGGAGTCACACAGTGTCCAAGTCTTGCAGTACTTCTCCTTGCTGCTGTTGATTTAATTGGCTAGTTTTCCAACAAAGGAAGGAAATTTGATCTGAGATGATACTGAGGAACCTCATTATAAACATCTTGAATTTTTCTTGGCCCATTGAAGCTGTCTTGGTAACACATGGCAGGCAATATTACACTTTTTCTTTGTTATTCTTAATAATGTATGCATAGATGTAAATATACAAGCATGCATACATATATTTCTGAGTGTTTATTTCAGATGGCCAGGAGTGATGTCAGAAGGTTATGAGAATCAGGGGATGGTAGCTCGATTTTTAAACAGTTTCTAGTCACTTGCTGGTCCCTGCAATTAGGCTGACTGTTAAGTTTCTGAGTCTTCCTTTTCTCACATCTAAAATATTCTTTTAGCCCTTCTTTGATCCTTTCAGTATTTTCTATGACTTTTCAAGGATAATTGCTCCTAATTTAGGTAAATCCTTAACATCTCCTAAAGTGCCATCGAGTGAAATTCACTGAGCTGTAATGAATACTTCTGGACTCCTTCCACACAGCTCCTGCTCCTCCTCTCCTTAGAAAGCATATAATTTCTATGAACAGTCTTACGGTTTCTTTCTTTCTTGAGGTTATCAACCAAGTTTTCCTTGTCTGTAGGGAGGAAGCCTAAAGTTTTCCTTGGATAATTCTGTTCACTTTATGAAACTTTCTCCCTTCCTTTGCCCATCCTACCTGTCAAAGTCATGTCCCACCATGACCACATGGGGAAATATTTTGTGCATGGGACACCACAAAAATGGTATGATGGCAGAGTCTTGTTGTGACATTACTTGTAAGCATTTATCTTTTGAGAAGTATTAAGATAATGGGATGTTTGATACTAATCAGACAATAGCAGATGCTATTTCTTTGCTCATCTTTACCATATTACTTAGGAAAATATTCTTTGTTGAACTCTTTTTCACATAATCTTTTTGTCAGTGGTATTAGGTGCCCAAGTGTATTTGTGTTTATTATGGTGGAAGTGTATGCACAGATTGAATTTTTTACCTTTTTTTTTTTTTGAGAGCATATGTTTTGGGAGCTGAAAATTGTATTTGAAGTCTAATCTCTGTTGTTCCTCCTACTACTGAGTTTATGGCCTCAGATACTCACTTAACCTTTTTCCTTTCCTTGGTTCCTTCTCCTTCAGCACAGGGATATGCAACTTCAAGTAGTTCTCCTGGGGATTTCATAATTCATTAAAATATTTAAGCACTTTGAAGATATAAAATATGTATACAGTAAATGCTAAATATTTTTACAATGATGCAAGGAAAAGGTTGATTTCTGAATTTGAATTCATTACCGTCCATTAAGTTAATGTTCCTTCTGTACTGCATTCCAGTACCTTAGTCATTCAAACAATAATGAGTGCAAAACAGAGTAATGAGTTTTGCACTGCTACCCTTCTGACTAGGTCATTTGTACACTCGTGGGAAATTCTGTTTCTGCTGGTCTGCTTGATTTACTGTTGATTTAATAAATCAACCTGTATTTAAATATGATTCAGCTTAAGCCTAGATTCTCCAAATCTTTAATTCTGGGGAGTATGTCTGTCTGATGGGGGTAGTTCATTTGAGCAGTTCTTGAAGCAGAGACCTGGACCCAAAACTTGTCTCTCGTATGTGAGTGCTCCAAACTTCTTGTGCACTATTCTTTCCCCAAAGAATTAGTTAGAAGGACTTCCCCCCACTTATAAAAGGGGTTGAAGACAGCCTGCCTTCTGCTGCTGCTTTAAGCTGTGAAAGAGAAAGGTGAAATACACAGGTGTGAGTCCCCTCAATCAGAGAACGCATCAAATCAAGAGTTCCCAGTTCCTGGGGAGAGTGCCCTAACCCCTGTGTCTTCATCTGGAAGAAGATAAGCTGGTGAGGGAGGGGCAGGATGGGTACTATTGGTAGGTGTAAAAAGGAATTTATTCCCTGCCCTCTTTTTAAAAGGGGCAGCTTAAAGCCTGTGCCCACACTTACTGCAGTATTGTGTTACCTGTCCCTGCGTTAGCACCCAAGCAGCTGACAGATGTACCCGATGTATTTATAGCTGTAGGTGCCGCAGCACGGCAGGAGCGCTATGGCAGCTCTGCCAGGAGACCCCCGCGTGCCTCTGCTCCGGCTCATGGCTGATCTGGCTGAGGCCAATCACCAGTCAAACACCAATCCTTAAAGGCAAGGCCTGGAGAAGGGCAGGATTTAAGGACACACATTTGTCTTAAGAATATCAAGATGGTGAGAAGCAGCTGCACAATGTGCAAAAATGTGACGGCATGATGGCAACTCCATGCCAGTGCTGGGGAGAAATAAAACATCTGCCAGCATACAGCACCCTGCTGCCTTACCTTGCTGCTTTCAGGACCTCAGTGAGTGTGTCCAAACAGCACTGCAATAAGTCTTCTTGATTACCAGATGCCTGGGTATGCTACATCTGGCATGGAAATACCTCCTCTTTTCTCTTGAAAAGCAGAGGCACAACCTTCTGCCATGGATTACTATTCAGGAATCTTCTCATCCGCAAGCAAAGGTAGACATCACAGCAAGGAGCATGGCCAGACCATCCAGAAGTCAGTTTGCTTGACACACACACAAAAATGTCATTAATATGAACTAGTGCACTGTTCTAATGATGGCACAGCAGAAGTAGCTGCAGCAGTGTTTGCTGGTGACCTTGCACTGAGACTAATTATTCATCACATGGAGGAGGATTGTTTTGTAGCAAATTGCAGAAGATGAGGGAGAAGACTGAGCAAAAATCAGTTTTTATTATCTAATGCTATCAAAATGTAGAGCCCTGCACCTCACAAAGGAGAAGCAAATAAATTCAAAAGCAAGATGAAGGAGTAGGAATTAACCAGATACATGAAAGTTTAAGAATTACTAAAGCTGGAGGAAGGGATGTATGCTCATGCGTTTCAGATCATGAAGGAAATAAGGGACTATTAACAACATTAGGCAGCCACCAGTCTGTCTGGCAGTGCTTCATAGTCAGTCCAGAGGATGCCAGGCTTCCCTGACAATAACCAGAAGTGATAATCTAGTCTGTCACCAGCCAGGCAGCCAGGTTGCAGGCTACAAAAGGTAAGAGCAAGAGCCATGTTTTGAGAAGAGTTGCACTCTTTTGGGTTGTTTTGAGCATTGGTGCTAGATTCCTGCTGCTGCTGCTGACAAGAACCAGCAATGCACATTCCTGCTGTTGTTAAGTTTACTTATATATTAATTGCTATCAATTCTGAATGCTGCAGTTGCATTTTTCATGTCTGTTGATTGCTTTTTGTTGCTGCCTGCTGAAGATAGCGTGGGCAGATCCTACGTCTGATGCTTTGTTTTAGTTGCCTGGCTACTGTAAAATGTTATCTTAGCTTTTGCTGAGGTGCCACAGATGCTTTCTTGATGAGTGTCCAAACAAGGAAATATATAAAAGATGATGGTTGAATGCTGTGCTTGCCTAGTTCTGTTGCTTTTGCTAGAGATGCTACAGTATGCTGACTTTGCTTTGCTATTACAGACTCTGTACAATAATGTAGAAGGTAGACTGAAACCTTTCATTTACACTTTGGGGTCATGGTCAATACCGAAGGTAATATTATCTGTACCTTTGAATGCAAAGGATCTGTTGTTGGAAGGAAATGGTGGGCAGCTGCTTCACTTGATTGCAATGCATTCTTTTCTGGTAATTGTTACAGAGAAAACATATTTTTTTCTGTTGATTGTGTTGCCAGATTTTTCCCTTCCTCTCTACCTGTGAAAGTCTCCAACAGAGAGAGATTTAAGTCTGAAAACTTAATTAGGATGTTGACTTCAAACTTCTTCCTTGCCAAAACCTGAAAGTAACCAGTATTTCTTCTGCTCTCTGTTTTCTGTTTATGCCTGCATAACTTTATCTCACAAGCATTTCTGACTAAATTGTTTTCTTGTACTCACAGTCTGAAACCTCTTCTAGAGTCTCTGAATAAGCTATGCATCTTTCCAACCAGTCCAAAAATATTTTGTCAGCAAATGAATAAAAAAATTACATTTAACAGCTATTTTACTTCCTTCTTTAATATTATTGCAAGCCTTTTCTTAATTATTTTTGCCTTTTGGCAGTTGCAGTGCATTAATATTTACGAGATGAGATACAGTTTTTTGTTTATATTAGCAGTCTTCGGTCTGTGAGCTCTGGACCAACCAGAATGCAGGATATCCTTTCTCATCGATTCATCAGGTTCATAATGTAAGATACAGTAATAAATGGCTATGTTGTCACTCTATGGATGTACAGTCTGTTGCCTTGGTGTTATCTACGGGTGTCATGTCGCTGAAAGGGTAACAGAAGTTCGTTAACTCGTCTGCCCTCCTTGGGGATTCTGTGTGCACACATCCGTGTGTCGTGCCATGTGGTTAGCGTATGTTGGCTGTATGGTGTACATACATACGGGACGTGGGGGCATTGCCAGCAGCGGTGTCGCTCGGGGAGGGGAGCTTTGACTTCTGTTCCTGATGTTTTCGTTCACTCACTTTTCCAAAGCGGGAAACCGTGTAAACAGCTCGGTTTGCACAGTTTCACCCCCGCGGTGTGTTGTGCTGCCCTTTCTGTGTCAGCCCACAGGCTTTGCCCAGCTGAGGTACACGCTGTGTTTGCAGAGTCACCTTTGGGGGAGTTAGAGGTAACGCTTATGGTGCCCTGAGTTTTTATCACTTCTGCGACAGACACAAAGGCTGTGCGTGTGATCCTGCTAATCCGTATTGCAGTGCGGTAAGAACAACAGCCAGTTGTTCAGCAGAGTATTTCAAAGGAGCTATAGATTTCTCTTGATTTTTTTCCATGCCTCCCTGGAACATTTCTGCCAAAGAGGGAACGTTTTGGCTACTAAGCTTTAGAAGTTTTTAAAATCTGAGTACACCATAAACCTGTTCCCATTATTTCCAGAGCCAAAAATATAAGGAGCTTAAAAAATTCCTCTCGGTCTAGGAATTAAAGCATAAGGAAACAATGAGGATTTGACTGGTCTGCAGAGCACTGAAAATTTTTACAGGGAGAAAATTATTAATTTTTCAGCCAGAAGTGTTGTATCTGTATGTGCTCCAATTTGTTGTTGTCATGGTGACTAATGCATGTTACCATAACCAGGCATGAAAAAAACAGGTGAAAAGTTATAAGATATGATTCTTGTTAAAAATAACCACATTCAAACCACTCAAACCCAGGCCTTTTTGGTTTTTTTCTTCCTTGAAGCATGGAGGGGTTTTAACTTGGCATTTTTTAAAAAGATGAGGGAGGTGTTAGATTTTTATAAAATTGTATTGAGATTACTTCTATTACTTTGACTACCTCTGCATCCAGGTGCCTTCAATGAGTCAAATACACTTCTCAGAAAAGAGGATGAGATAGAAAAATGTGCAACAATTTAAAAAAAAAAAAAAAAGCAAACCAAAACACTTAATAGCTGTGATCTGCCTATGTAGCTCATTTGACATCAAGCATCTGACCCTTTGTAAAGCACTGAGAAGTGCACATCTGCTGATTTTTCAGGGTTAGAAAGCACTGCAAGAGCACAAGATATTGGTCTTTAAGGTAGTCCCTGTAAACTAATTGAATCCTTACCATTCTGGCACCTGACTTGAGACCATTATCTGATTATAAATTCTTTATCTCCAAAATGTGGAGCGAAAAATGTTCTTTTTCAAGCTGCCAGAAGCCAAAGAGAGGAAAGGTGCTGGTTAAAGGCACGGGGACATTAGAATACTAAAAGACAGGCAATAAAGCAAAAACCATGTGATAAATTGCACAGCTGTCTGATGAGTTGTAAAGTTAGATGAGGAATAAATTGTCTCTTGTCTTTCTACTTCATCAGAGAGATAAAAATCTCCATCTGTATATTGTGTCATAAAAAATACATAAGCTTAAATGTTTGATTATTTCTTATAATTGCAAATTAAATATTCAAACCAGAAAATCCTTATCCTATCATATCTATTTTTAAAATTTAAATCAAACATTGTAAGTTGGTCTTGCTTGGCAATTTATGAACATTTCTGTACTGCTTGAAAGTGCTTATGAAGGACCTGAATCTCAATACATCACCCATGAATGGTTACACATCAATTCCTGGGATTTAGGACTACTAGTAATTTATATTTTTCTATCCCAAACTTGAACCTTGTTGTTTCAAGCCTTCTCTAGGTCAAAGATAGTCCTATTTTGTGTTTCACCTGAAGTCAACTGCCATCATGATATCCTAAATCACAGAATTTCAAAATCTGACTAGACTCGGTCAGCTGAGGAGCTCCCTTTCTTCCTATTGAGGTTTTTAGGCACAGATTTTTGAATGTATTCAGCTGTCTAAATCTTGTTTAAAAGCTTTTCTTCCTGGGGAAAAAAAAAAAATCTATACCTATGATGTTTAATTTTATGCAACTTTTTTTATTATCTGCTCCCTCTACAAGACATACTGAAATACATGAAAGCTCTCCAGATGCAGCGGTTTGTCAGGAACAACAGAAATCCTGTATCCCTGCATTCCTCTAACCTCACCATTATTGCATGTTTAGAACATCCTAAAGAAAAGTATAGAAATCTTGGCAATTCAGTATTGACTAATTTAAAAGGAGTAGGTACTAGGATGATTATATTTATAGAGTAATTAATGGACACCAGCAAATGGTCTCCACACAGTCCCTCTCTAAGTGTCTCATACCCTAGTTTTATTAGCCTAGTTGAAGATTATTTCCCATTTCCTTATGATTAATTTTTCCTTTATAAAATTGAACCAAAGCTAGAGTTAATCACTGTTCCTCTTTTACTGTCCCTTATTTACAGACAGAAGAAATGCAGTTTTCCATGCTTTTCCTACTGTCTGTGCAAAAGGAAGACACACTGTAAAATTATGTACTCATTTTACTCGTTACTTACTCCTTACTCTCTGCTTAATTTGTCAGTGCCATCTCTCTTCTGCATGTAGGGAAGCCACCTGCTGAGCAGTGCAACAGGAGGGTTTGGAGCACTAGTTGCGGTCACTTGTTCAGTAGAACGTGGCACAGCCATCCCCATGCTTCCTTAGTGGAGATACCACTAAGGAAAGATGTTAAGGTCAAAAGATGTACTTTTGTAGCTTTTCTGTCCTAAATTTACTCATGTTCTATCATAGTAGCCTTTTTCTAAATGGATAGGATATACCTCCCAAGATCTGATTCCTTACCCAGAACATGCAGGAGTGTATCTTTATTAGGGGGAAAAAAAGGACTATTTCAAGTGGTCTGTTAGCTGTGGCCTTGAACAGTTCATAAGAGACAGCTGAGCACACTGTGAGAATTTGTGATGGGTGCAATCCATCTTCTCTTGTTCTCAAAGACAGACTCCACTAATAACAAGGACGCAGATCCTTGCCCTTTTGTAATATGATGGAAACCACATTTTATAAGAACTACTTCTTAAAGAAGTCAAACTCTCACTTCAGATTAAATATGATAAAAGGTTTTTATACATTGTGGATACAAAATGTGAAAAAGTGGAGCAATTGCTTCTGCTGCTTTCCTTTCAGAATCTAAGGCTGAAGTCATATCCATGGCATATAGGCAACTTAACTAGGCAAGACAGAAGTTACAGTACTGTGTTACTGGTAGATGTGCTAATGGTGTCAACAGTAACTAGGTTCGACTTGCTTGATGTTACCATATTGGCAGGGTAATGTTGATGTTTCCAGATTTATCTCTTGCTTTTCATTGCAGAGCTGTGCAAATGCGTGTCATTTCGTTATTTTGTGACACATGAAAATGATGTACTTGTTTTGTTTACTCTGTCCTGATTTAATTAGTAAGATGTGATAGTTTGCCAGACTTTGAATGTCTTCAATAAGATTTTTTTCATGTGTTTTTTATGTATAACTTCTTTCTGCTATAAAAGTCTGAACTTCTAGCCATATTCTGTGTGAAAAGCTGATGACAATTCCTTACCATCTTTAACACATATTTTAACAATATGACATGGATAGAAAATACACAGAGATAAGTGCAGGTAAAGAAAGAAGTAGTGTAACCCAAACTGAAATAATCATATAGGAAAGGATAAAGTAGTTGGAGAGAAAATAAGCAGGGAAAGGAGGATCAAGAAGGAGCAATGTGGTTGCAAAAAGACAGAGTGAGAAGAAGAGGGCAATTCAGAGGCAGTCCAGACCAGACAGAATAGGAGAGAAGTAGGACTGGTGGCAGAGGGAAGAGGGGTTGGGAAGCAGAGAAAAGAGTCCATCCACAGGTCATTTTCAGTTAAAGTGAGCTGATGCTTTGACGGCATCCCTGGTGTTGAGGATGTGGGCATATGTGAACCAAAAGTAGGAGAGATCACAGTTAACAGCTAAATAGTCTCAGAATAATAATTATTTTTTGCATGGGCCTGCAAGGTAGAAGGAGCCCCAAAGGGTCCAGAGGTCAGTCCGGGTCCAATAAAGCCATGACCAAAACCACAACAATGGCAGGTAAGACCCAGACCAGCACTAGCAGTCTGGGAACATACCTGTAGTGATGCCTGCATTGGCTCTATTGGAAGGGAGAAGAGTGTGCTGCAAAGGGACTTGGCAGCAAACTGCAGTCTTACCTGTGTTCTCTGAGGGCTTTGAGGAAAGAGAGGAGATGACAGCTCAGGAAGGCAATCGCCTGTATCAGTGAGAATGATGAATGTGGAAGGGCAATGTTACTACCTCCACAATGAGGAAGCAAGAGATGGTGATCAAAGTAAATATTCATAAAGAGATTAAAGAATGCCTCATATTTTTGAAGAATGTATAATCAGTCTTAAGTTCAAAGCAAAGTCTCTGTTATTTAGCCATTTAGAAAAGTTAGTTATATGTGCTGGATAATGGAAGACTCATTAACTGTGCAGAAAAGCCTGTAAAACACATAGCAGAATTTGTGAAAGGCACTTTCATGCATCTCATGATTTTTTTCAAGTGCTCTCATCCTCATATATGTATTGTAAACACTTATTTTTAAGGAACATTTCCGGTGCCTAATGATTTTATTCTCAAAGCAAATAGATTTAATTAAAGCCTCATTAAACACTACAGTAGATGATTTTGGATTATAAATTAAATCACGAAAAATGTTGTAGGAGTTGTGTTCCCTTATTTTAGTAACATGGCTGCTATGCATAGAAAATAAACTCTTGTTAATTGAGCACAACACTGGAGGTCTATTTTGTAGCTAATTTACCTGCACATATTCTAATATCTTGAACAACTGTGATTTTCAGACAGGAGACTGGGGAGAGCCTTCAATTACCTTGCGACCTCCAAATGAAGCCACAGCATCAACACCTGTACAATATTGGCAACATCATCCAGAGAAACTCATCTTCCAGTCATGTGACTATAAAGCATTTGTAAGTGTTGATAAATATTAGTGGTTTGATTTGGGGTAGATATGCTAATCTTGGATTTTGATAGGCTGTTGTGTTTTACTTCCAGTTATAATATTTTCTCAATCACTTTTAGTGAGACAGGCCACTTCTTCTGCGAAACTGTAATTGTAATAAATGAGAAACAAGGATGCACAGTACTTTTTGCTATGAATTTTGTGATACATTGCAGTCCATGTATCAATAGTGTTAGAGAATGGACACTATGAGTAAGTGGCCAAGTATAGAAGTGACACCCCTATTTCTCATTTGTCACAAATTCCTGTCTAGTAGTTATGGAAGAATAATAAAGCATAATATGGGATCCTCATGCCTACCTTAATGTGTTCACAGTAGTTAATTTAAGTGTTGCCTCACCTGAATTTTATAGATTTGTTTTTAGGGAAGGGAGATAGAGAAGATGGAAATCAGGATTCTGAAGCAGTGTTTTCCATCTCTGGGACAAGAACACATTCAGACCTCTGCCTAACTGTTGGCTACTTGAAGTACCAGTAGCAGTCAGTTCCATCAGGGCAGGGCATGTTTATTTTTACCTCTCTCTAGCTTCAGCTGATTACCACTTCCCATCCCTGGACAAACAGATCTTCCTTCTACAGCTAAAGGCAATTAGTGTTCTCTATTGTGTTATAAATGCTTGTGGAGGAGAAAAAGGTCTCCTTCAACACAGAAAGTAATTTTGGGTTTTTCTTTTTAGTTAAAAACTGAAATCTTGAGTTTCCTGAGAACAGGGTGGGAGGACTGGAGCTTCTGGGGATCTGAAGAGGTGACTCAACTCACCTCTTTAAATGCTTACATTTCCCCCTCCAACTTTGCTGAAAAGCGTTGTTGAATTTGCTGAAGGAGCTTGCCAGACCACTCTGCGTCCTCTTTGGAGGTGGCCCTAATGAAGGAAGGCTGACTTATGGTACAAGGAAAGGGGCTCAGTAGTTGCAGTGCCTTTAGCATAATAGCTAAGGGTTAACCTCTGGTCCAGGTCATGGTGTTGAGATCCTCTTCACTTGAAGGGGCTAAGATCTTTAGTGCTTTTTAGGATCGTGCTCTGTTTACCAAATACAACTGTATTTTGGGGGAGAGTTGGAGGCTGCTGAACCTCTTTTGAAGCATATCTGGAAAGGTAGGAATTAGAGACTAAATGCAGGTGAGACAGAGCCTGGCTCTCACTGAGCAAGGGCAGAAGGGTTGTTACAGTCCTGTCTTACTGGAGTACATTTGTATTTTCCATCAGACCTTCATTGGGTAGAAATTGCCATGAATGCAGTGACTGTCCTTGGACAGTAACTAGAACCTCTACCTTCCTCAGCAAGTCATGGTCAAGGACCAGCTCACCTACTCTCAGTCTTCTTCTCCTACTATTCAAAACCTCCTAGCTCACCTCAAATTGAAAAGAAAGCTTAGCAACTTCTAGTTCTTTAAATATTTTTCCTAGTTTCCAATAAAGGGAGCATGAGTGCCTTTTATCGTATTGCATGATCCAGCATGTCACCCTTGTAATAGATTGGAAGGCATGTGGATCATTAAATAAATGACGTTGAGATGACAAGGAATATCTTAAGTTACTGGTGATTGAGGAAACACCTTCTTTTCCTAAGGACCATGCGTCACTGCTTCATTTCAGATCACTGAGCTGTATTGACCTCAGCCTTATAGAGTAAAAGCCTGACTTGTAAGTTATGATGGGCACAGCTTTCACTGTGTGCCACATCACTCAGTTAAAGCGTTGGATGTTCTCTGCATTGCTCCCATATGCTCTCAGTATTTGAGTAGGAACTTTTCCAAAAGCACAGCAAGTCAAAGGGAAGCAAAATTCCCTGCTAGAGTTTCAGATCTTTCTGACAACTAAATTGGACGGTACCTCTGTGATTTGTTTGTCTATTACACAGTCCTCCCTGGGAAGCATTTCTGAATGCCTTCTGCTTTTTGCTGCTGTGTGGATGGGACAGGAGCTGCCCATCTCTTCTCTTTCTTCCTCTTGTTCTGCCGTGAGCTCAAAGCACCGCTTTTTTCCCCTGGTGCCTGACCAACTGGTATCTTTCAAGGAAAAGATATTTTTTGTACTATAGTCCATAAAAAAAATAAGAAAATTTAAAAAAAGTTGAAGTAATTGCAAACTGCACAGGATGCCAAAAGTGTCAGACAACAGGATCCAGAAAAAAATGCAGTTCAACTCAATACGCTTTTAATTTTCTAATTTTGGAGTTTGCTTTATATTTGTTGTTTTTCTTCAAGGGCAATACCAAACTGTCCCACCAAATTAATACCCAAAGCCCTATTCATGTCATCATCGAACCCCCAGCTGGACTTACAGCTGCTCGGTTTATGAATCTTTCACATCTGCAGTCCTCCAGGAATGCCCTTCATTCATTCCTTTCTGGTGCTTGTCTGGTAGTGTTGGTGTTGCTCACTGTTCCATCTATAATGCCCTATAAAATGTTTCTTACCAACTGACATATTGGCTACTGTCTTCATTGAAATATTTATGCATTTTCTTGCAGGTCAGAGACTCCTGCAGTACACAGTGTGAAGTGAAGGCTTTAAAGAAAATATCTTAGTTTAGGTCAGGAGATCAGAGAATTGAACCAGTACATTCTCTGTTCAGTTCCAGCTTGCGTTCAGCTGTAACTGAAGTTCTTTTTGATAGGTTCCTGTCTAAGCTGAAGCTGTTTCACTATCTGGTTGGGTCAGTTTAGGCTGTTTCCAAGGGGAGGCAGTGTGGTAGAGTGAAAAAGGTCAGGAGGTGGTGATGGGCAGCAGCATCCTCTGGGAAAAGGGTCCTGCCCACACTGGCTTCTCTTCTGCTCCTGTGTTGCCTCACTTAGGACTGGAGACTTAAGAGAAGGCATGGCCTTGTTCTGCAGTGAGGGTACAGGGAGAGACATCTCTGTGCCTTGGGAGGAGCAGGTGAGGGTCACATGCTCTCCTCTCTCTACAGCTAAGCCAGACTTGCATGTGACATCATACAGAAATACAGAAACATCCTGTTAGCAGTATCCAAACGTGGCAGAGATGGGTACTGAGACCCCAGAAGAACAAATCCAGAGGAGCAGAGCCTACTATCAAGGTGCAGGAGGGCTCAAACTGCATGTGCCAGCAAGTGACAAAGTGAGGGAAAGGCCTGTAGGAAGGGGGCTGTATCGGTGAGGCACTCACTGCCTTGTGTGCCCTCAGAGATGAGCGGGCTCCTCTGAGGGCACAGAGGCTTTCAGTGAGCTGAGCCAGGACACAGCACCCTTCTGCTTCCTCTCACCCAGCCCTCCTCCAGATCAGTAAAGGCGCTAAAATAATCATTCAGGGTCAACCTTTCCTTAGGAAGAAGCTAGCCTTGGTATAGATTTGTTTTCTCTGTTTCCTGATATTGGGCTCTGCTGTTTGCACGTGAATTAGTTACAGATTGAGTACAGTGAAGTTAAGATTGATGCTGCCCTTCACATCCACGTGATTGCACACATAACAATAGGAGATCGGCAGATGGCAGCTAAAAAAAGCAGATTCTCTGTTTTTTAATGAAATGGCTTTTTTTAAGATGGAATCTGTAGTATTTCCTCATTGTTTGAGTGACTAAAGCGAGGAGACTTTCAGATATTGTTTCAAAAGACATGAGCTGATTCAATACACTTGTTACTGTGCATTCTTGTTTTCTAGGTTGATTAATGCATTGGTTTAAATGATTTATCAAAGAACTACAGAGTAAAAAAACTCTAAAGCAATGTATTAAGAAGTTGACTGCTACAAGTATGCTTTTTAAAGGATTTTAAGTGCATTTCTGCAGATGTTTGTCTGTTCTGGAATTTGAGTTAAATTAAGTTCAGTGGATTTTTGTTTTAGTATTTAGGTTCTATGCTGGTAAAAGAGTTAAGAGGCACAGAGTCAACACAGGATGCGTGTGCAAAGATGAGGGTAAGTTTGTAAACCTACTTCTTTCTGTATCATAATAGTATTAAATAACATCAATCTGTGATTGGTTGTACTGTGCCCTTTTCACTTCTATAATGTACTGTTACCCGTTGCTTTTCCTTGCACTTACCTTACATCTTAATTTCAAGTACTAGAAAATTTAAAGGTAGACCCAAATGTATGCGTTTTGCTTTCTTGTGAATTTTTGAGTATGTTTCAAAGTATTGTCCACACACTTTAAACATGCCCATATCAAATTGATTTTATGAACAGAATTTATAGCTTTTATATGATAATCTAAATTGAATTTTCTATGTGACAGTATGTGTTAATAAATATATTAACACGTTATCGAAGATTTTTTTTTATGCATGGTAAATCCAACACTCACATAATTCTGTGGATGCTTTTACTTACATGAGTGTTTCCATTAAATATGAGTTACTTACATGCTTTTTTGATTGAAGGGTAAAATGTGATCTAAGTCAGTCTCAACTGGTGGTAGAAAAGCAGTTAGGTTTCCTTCAGACTGTTCAGAATATGTTTTCCTGTGGCTCCTTGTCCTGATACTTGTTTGTAGAAAATTGCAACAAGGCTCGGTCTGTCTCCAAGAGACAGACCACTGCTGGAAACTCAAAACAAACCACAGCCTGATTTATTCCCAACTGTAGTTGTAATAAGAATGAACCTGTTCATAGCCATGGTGAACATATCACGGTCTGGCATGATTAATTAATGAAGAATGTAATTGTTTGCTAATCTACCAAACATGTACAATTACAGAGATGAATGAGCTAAATTTTTTCTTCTGTGTATTGTAAGTTTTGTATGCAAGATGCCTCTGAGCATGAGATGTGGCATTCGGATCAGTTAGAAAGCTGGAAGATGTGTAAAATTCATGCAATCAGACAAGCGTTTCCTACTGGTTACATATCTGCAGCACACAGACTTTTGTACAAGCCATTTTTGCTAAGGACTTGCAGTAATTCACACTTACTAGATTGCCTGAAGTCCTGAGGCTTTTCAGCTAATTACATGCTAATCATTCCTTACCTGGACTTAAACTCCTCTAAAAAAACCCAACAACTTGACACAGGGGGATCTACAATCACATACACTTGTTCTGGGGAATTAATTGAGACTGTAAGCCTACCATCTTCCAATCCAATTTTCAAACTGTCAGGCTTAGCAGTTCAATTTTTTAGGCATATGCCTGCACAGGTCTTAGGGCAGAATTTGACACCATAGTAGCATGTGACAACTTCAGCAAGTTTTCTGACTGAACCAGGAAGCTTAACATCAAAAAAGGCACTCTAAATAATTTATAGCTCTTTTAAGATATATTTTTGTAAGTAATAAGTTTGACTAATTTAAATTATATAACTGAAAGAACCAAGTGCTTCAAAGCAAATTTAATTTAAAATACAAATTTTCTATAAAAATAATGGAGTTGCACTAGTTGTCTGTAGTGCTGTACAGGGCACTTATATAGCACAGTGATGGGGTTTATGTACATTTATTTTTTACATTTTCTTTTGAAACCACTGTGCTGTGAGAATGTTTATTTTCTAGTCTGAGGTTTTTCATTGGAAAGATATTTGAATAAAACAGTTTTTAATCAAGATTTCATCTATTCTTTCTGTGTAGTCCTTTTAATCATGTTCCTATTCAAGTCAAAAGCAAAAACCTTTGACTTAATGGGAACAGGTTATTATTTTAACCTGTTTCCCAGTGAGAAAAATGTATCTTTTTCCAAAACTTTCTACCTATAGTTGTGTTTTGAAAGTTGGTGTCTGTGAATTGGGAGTCCAAGTTGTCCAAAGTCATCCTGAAATTTTGCATTTTGCTGTGATGTTCATTATTGTATTTAAGTACCACTGGGTTGTCATTGAAAATGCGGCTTCTGATATAGTTACATTTTACTTTAAATGTGTTGAAAGGGACATTTCACTTAAAAAAAAAAGAAGTTAAAAGCTAGATATATTATTTGCTGGCTCTCAGGTGCTGAGTTCTGTACACTTGTCCAGTGTCTCTAAAGTCAGTAAGATTTTTACATAGGGTTGTACTTTTGTGATAGAGCAATATTTTTTAATTTTAGTTTTAGGGTTTTTTTGCATGTACATATTTCAAATCTGTAGCATGCTGCAATCTGAAACATATTGGGGGAGGGGAGTATGTCACACATAATCTTGTACCATATTGGGGTCACTCCCTGCAATTTTTTGATCTTTCTGGACTCAGCCACATAATGGTTTTATGGAGAATGTATGAAAATTAGGTACCTAATCTTTCTGTCAGTGTGGCTTTAGCTTCTCCATCTTTAACCTAATGCTGCTAAAAAAAGTGTTGATATTCACTGACTGTCTTCCAGTCAGCAGGTGCACAAGAATGAAAGAAGTGCATCAGTGAAAAAACCAAAAAACTTGATCTTCCTTAATCATTCATAAATACAGAGAAACAACAAAAATGACATGTTTGCTGACTGCAGATCCTTCACTGTTAGTTGTAGATGTTCCCAGGGCTTTCAATTATTGCAATTGATGGTTTTGGGTCTCAAGGGAAGTGTCATGCAGTTATCCCTTCTGTCTCTCCACAGAGAGGCTTACAGTGCCCTCCTTCTCTTATTAGCTGAAGAGTGAAGGGAAATCCTAAATCTTCTATAATGTAAAAAACCACCAATAGTAACGAAAAAACCCAAAACCTGGGAACCTTTGTCTTCTTCTTGGCAATCCACTGTGCTTCTCAGCATTGTGCAGCAATGTGCTCCAACAGAGCAGATGATGGATTTGTTTGGGGAAAATCATGCAGATGCAGTAACTTGAGCTCAACAATAGGGTCAAGGTTACAAGTGGAGTTTTTTTCCCTACCCAAAATTGCAGATTCTTGTAGCCATTTGAAATTATGGACATTTGGCATAAAAACTTTGGTTTTCTATTTGTATAGTTGCACTCCTTTATATTTTATGGTTTCTCATTTGTTTCCAGCTATTTTTTCTTGCAAACTGCCTTCACAGTCGACAGTTCTGTCTCCTTATCTCCATTCCTCACCTGCTCTAAACTGACCTTTGGTACTTGGAGATTAAATCTTGCTGTCCTGGCCAGAATAGGTTTATTAATTATATTTGAGAGATGCCTTCAAGAAGTTAAGAGCTTTCATCTTTCCCAGTGGGGAGAAGGAAATAATGCAAGTTGCATTTTCAGTCAGACTGATGCCTTCACTTTAAATCATCATAGGAAAATGGAGAATACAATGTGTTTGCAGCAAAATAAAGGCAAGGAATAAAGTTAAATTTGAGTTAGGAAGGGACTTGTTCTCTACAGAATACTCCATCTGGCATTTACACATCTGAATTCCTTGACTAGGTAGGAAGGGGATGGTTTTATACTTACTGGCATGAGCACAGTACCAAGGATGACTCTTTCCTTGCAGCAATGTTAAATCACTGATGTTGCATACACCAACTGCACACTCTGAACCAGTCAGATATTTACTGCAGCAGAAGGGAACTTAGACTTTGTTCTTGGATCCTGCCACCTTCCTGAATATTATGTATCTTTCTTATTTATTTTGTTGTTAGAAAAGAGGCTCTAAAGTTCAAGTCAAAGTTCTGAGGAACCACCAATATAGTTCTGTTCACAAAGCAGTTATTTAAATGTCTTGCTGACTTAAGACCAAAATGTCAAAGTTAGAATTGTTACAAAATCTGCTTCTCTTTATCTCTGGGAGAGGAAGATGAAGCAGAGTTGAGTCACTGAAAATGGGCAGCATCTGGGGCATTTCTTCCTCATTTAATTTCTTCTTACACAAAGGAGGAGGACCTGAATTTAGATGGCAGTCTCCTTGTTTCTACCAAACCCTTTCTACTTTTCCATCTCAGCTTCATTCCCTCACCCCCAAAATAGAAGTGTAGAAGCCTCTGTAGGTGTCCTAGTGAAACTAACAGGCAAGTAAATGTTGGGATCAAACACTGTATCTGAGAATTCAGATTCTTCAGTCTCTGGTCTCCTGAGACTTGTAGCTCTCTCGCTCTCTTGTGTGGCTGCTGCTTTGGGAGGGCCTGTGGTGGAAAAGGCACATGGATATTACTCAAAAGGAAAAAATAAGTGGTGGAAGGTCTTCAGTCCCTGTGAACATCCACATCATGCTGTGTGTTCTTCAGAGGATTTTACTTCCTTGAACTCTGTGGTTGAAAGGAATATAAGGTGCAGGAAGGATGCAGAGGAGTGTTTAGAGATACTGCAAAAGCAAAAAACCATCTCACTCTGAAGTACATGAGTTGCAGGTGCACCCCCAGTGCAATGTTCACATTAATGATATAGCTTGAAGGCATCCACTAATTGTAGAGAGGTAAGCAGTCTCATACCACAGGGATTGCAGATGCAGTCTTATTCCAAGAGGTGTTAAATTGTGTCAGTAATGCATTTTTAAGCCTTTTGGACTGAGAGAAGTTATTAAATATTTGTTACAAGGCAGACTTGAGTTTCAAAATTGGCTTCAGAACTAACTGTTCAGTTGTGGACTTAGACTTTTTATTTCCATTTCATCTCATGCCTGATCTTGTCAAAGCGATTCACTTCAAGTTCCTCTTCCACAGCTGGTCGAGGGAGGTGAGTGTCTCGCTCTGCTCTGCACTGGTGCAGCCTCACCTTGAATATTGTGGCAGTTTTAGGCACTGCAGTATGGGAAAGATATTAAGCTCTTAGAGAGCACTTGAAAGAGGGCAGTGAAGATGGTGAAGGGCCTTGAGGGGAAGCCGTATGAGGAGTGGCTGAGGTTGCTTGATTTGTTCCACCTGGAGAAGAGGAGATCTCATTGCAGCTACAACTTCCTCGTGAGGGGAAGACGAGGGGGCAGGCACTGAACTCTTGTGGTGACCAGTGTCAGAACCTGAGGGAATGTCCTGAAGTTGTGTCATGGGAAGTTTAGGTTGGATATCAGGAAAAAATTCTTCACCCAGAGAGTGGTTGGGCACTGAACAGGCTCCCCAGCAAGTGACCACAGCA